TGATTCATTGGGACTGGGGAGATAGCTCAGTGGAATAAGCACTTCCCTGGCAAGCGCAAGGGCCTGAGTTCAATCCCTGGTTCTGCCAAAAAAAAAAAAAAAAGATTGATTGATTAACTGTCTTTTTGAGACAGGCCTTGAGCTCACTTTGTAGCCCAGGCTGATGTAAAACTTGAGATGATCTTACTGCCTCAGCCTCTCCAGTGCCAGGATTACAGGCTTGTGTCTCCATGTCCAACTAATTTATTTATTTTTTGAGGCAGGATCTCACCATGTAGTTCAGACCACCCTTGAACTCATTATGTAGCCCAGGCTGGCCTCAAACTTGTGGTGATCCTCCTGCCTCAGTCTCCTAAGTGCTGGGATTATAGGTAAGTACCTCTACACCTGCCCAGCCTGGGTAATTTAGAGATTTAGGGAGGGTCTGTCTCAAAATAAAGAAAACTAAAAAGGATTTTTTTTTTCTTTTTTTTTAGAACCGGGGATTGAACTCAGGCCCTTGTGCTTGCCAGGAAAGCACTTATTCTACTGAGCTATCTCCTCAGCCCCAAGAAAACTAAAAAGATTTGAGATACAGCTTAGTTAGAAGGTCCTGGGTTCAATCCCAAATACTGAAAAAAAACCCAAAACACATTCTCAGGTGGTCTGAACAAGGTGGGCGATGGGAACGCGGGAAACCTGGACTTTAGGCATGGAACAAAAATGGAAAAAGGTATCTGACACTGATACCAGGAACTAGGCCCCACCTCTCCTTCAAGTGGACCTCCCAATGTCAGTCTGTCCAGCCTGGGCTCTTGGCTGCACTTTAACATCAGGTTCCTTGGGACTTTCCTGTTCCAATCCTCCTTCCCCATATTGGTACTTCCCTTTGGGACCCCACAGCACATCACCTGTTAGTGGCTGGGGCAAAATCCCAGTTGAGTGTGTTTCTTTCCCCTGGCCTTTGAACAGGCACTGTTTCTAGTTCAGTAAATATTCATTCAGCCCTAGAAGGGACTTCATTAATTATTAGTAGATGGAAGGAAATAAGGCCTACCTCAGAGGCTGAGTTGAGGAACATATGAACAATGTCCAAGGCAGAGAAGATCTTTGATAAATGTGCAGGGAAAAAAAATTTCTTTTGTCTTTTTGAGACAGGGTCTTGCTACACAGTTCAGGCTGGCCATGAGCTCACTTTGTAGCCCAGGCTGGTATCAAACTCAATAGGATCTTCCTGCTTCAGCCTCCCTTTGAGTGTTGGGATTACAGGCATTAACCACCATGCCTGTCTTAAAAAAAAATTTTTTTTTTATGTAGTAATGAATGTGTGAAACAGCTAGCAAGGGCCAGGGAGATGGCTCAGTGAGATAAGTGCTTCCCTGGCAAGTGCAAGGGCCTGAGTTCAATCCTCGGTTCTGCCAAAAAAAAAAAAAAAAAAAAAAAGAAAGGAAAGAAAGAAAAAAAGGGAAAAAAGAGAAAGAAACAGCTAGCCAGCCAATCCCTTTCTCCTTTTCACTATCCCCCTCCCCTCAAGCCCTTTCAGCAGTCAGCTCCAAGAACAGCAGGCAGGTACAGAGGATGATCTGGGGCATCACTCTGAGATCTGCTTCACCAAACTAGAGCCAGTGCAGTACATCACAATTTCTTTATCTGACAAGTGCCAGGCTGGGGAAATAGCCTAGGGAAATAG